GATATTAGCTATTGGTTTGTCATAGGTGGCTTTCTATAAGATTGAGGTAAAGACTATTTGGATTTTCTGTAGGGTTTTTATTACGAATGAGTGTTGGACTTTGTGAAAAGGTTTTATGGATCTATTGAGGTGATCATGTAATTTTTGTCTTTGATTCTGTTGATATAGTGTGTTACGTTTATTGATCTGCATATGTTGAACCATCCTTGCATTTCTGGGATGAATCCTACTTGGTCATGTTGTGTAATCTTCTTGATTATTTGCTGCATTCTGTTTGCCAGTATCTTATTGAGGATTTTTGCATAGATGTTCATTAAAGAGATTGGCCTGTAATTTTCTCTTTTGATTGGGTCTTTCTCTTGTTTTGGTGTCTTGCCTTCCAGAATAAGTTATGAGGAACTGCTTCCATTTCAATTCAATTAAAGATTTTGAGGAATATTGGTGTCAAATATTCTCTAAATTTCTTGTAGAATTCAGCTGTGACTTCATCAGCATGGGTTTTTCTTGATTGATAAGTTTTTTATTACGTTTCAATTTCATTAGCTGATATTAGGTTGTTTAGAATGTTTATATCTTCTTGATTTAGCTCTTGTAATTCATACATTTCTAGAAATCTGTCCATTTCTTCTGTGTTTTCCATCTTCTCTGAGTAAAGATTTTTGAAGAAGGTATTGATGATCTGAATTTCCATAATATCTATAGTAATTTCATCCTTTTTAGTCTTCATTGCAAGAATGAGTATTTTTCTTTCCTTTTTTGATAAGGATGGCAAGGGGGTTATTGATCTTATTTATTCTTTCTGAGACCCAACTCTTCTATTCATTAATTCTTTGTATTGTTTTCCTCATCTCAATTGCATTAATTCATGCTCTGATCTTTATAATTTCCTCCCTTGTATATGGGCTTTTGGATTGACTCACTTTTATTTTTCTGGAAGGTTGTTTATTTATGCTCATTCTTTTTTCAGTTTTGTTTTGATTGGGCATCGTTTTGTAATTTTTTTTTACTACTGCTTCTTACTTGTAATATTCTTTTACCTGTAATTTATTGATTTTAGGACTTATATACAATATATATGCAAAGTATGAAAACGTTTAAGAGAAGGTAAAAGCATATAAATAGGTAATCTTTAAACCCCTGCTGAGACAAATAATCTATAAAATTGTCTTCTTAAGTCTTTTTTCTTTGTCATTCACTGAGACCAAGGAAAGGAGAGAACTTTCTTTTTACTATAAATTACAATTAAAATGATTTTCTCTTGAAATTTATCTCAGCTGATCTTTTCTTTTTTTCATATTTTTCTCTATTGCTTAAAGATATTCTATTACTTTCAAGCAGGGGTATCTCTGACTTGTTGAATAATACTTCTGATTAATTTTTAAATAACTTGCCAGTTACTTGTCCCAGTAGGCATATTTGCTTATTTATATGTAGCAAAATTTCAAAAGTATGTCTAGTCTTAGAAGTTCCAGCTTGAAAATAGAATTGCAGGGACTACATTGAGGCAAAAGAACTTTATTGGCCAAGGCTGATGTGGACTTATGTGGCTGGTAGCACTATAGTGTGGGATTTCTAGGTAAGTCTCCATTTCACTTCTCGGTTATACGAGAAGAACTAGCACTATGCAAGCATTTAAATCCCTAGTTTTGAATAGATGGATGCTTGTAAAAAGAGTCCTTGGTCTCCTCACTGTAGTCTGTTACCTCTGTTCTTGCTATTAATGACTGTAACACTTGAATGGATGCTTCTGACAATAAGTTCTCCGTTTCCCATCTATTAGGTGAATATTAAAAGCATATGTAAATAAATTCAGTGACCTGGTAGTTGCTGTAGTAATTCTACCAACTTTAGTAGTAGTAACTTTTCAACTAATCTATGCATTTTTGCTGTATGTTGATTTGTTTCTGTTATCTTTTTTCCTCTTTAAATTAAAAAAAAAAAGAATGGTGGCATTTTTTTTTTTCTGAGTCAACCTCAGACAAAAACTAGAATATGAAACTGGTGTATAAATAATGGTAGGCTTTCCAAACATGCCCAGAGTTGCAACATAAATGTCCAACCTCACAGATACATTATAGTGAAAGATCTCTTGGCTGAGTGTTGGCAATTTTAGTGTAGTTATTCATACCATTTGCCTTCTGAGAGGTCTCCTTTAGAAGCAGATCCCCAATATCCTATCAATCCCACTGCTTGGCTGCCAGCCCAGAAAAATGGACTCATTCCATAGAATGACTCAGTTCAAAATTGAGGAATTCTAAAGAGGTACCAGCTTAAGTCTCCTTAAAGACAAAAGCATGCCTTATTCAGTACAGTGAGTGAATGATATTGTGCATTTACCGCACTAACCTGTTGGGAAAAGTGAGGCATCGAGTTGGGTAAGATGCCTCACATCAGACTGCATTGTAAGCAGCAATGCTACAGCAAAACTCATGCACTCGTTATGAGAAACTTCCGTCCCATTTTTTTTTCCTATGTTTTATTCACTGGAAGCTGGATGTCTACACATACTTGACTATTCTTCACATAATATTCAATTTCAATGCAGTGACAGCTAGAAAGCTGATGTAGAAATGGTTGTCACACTTGTTTGTAAGAAAGGATATGTAAGTGATTTCTTGGTTGTTCTACAATAAGGAAAGTGCAGATCAGATAATATAAAATTGAAATACTTAAAAGAAATTATGTAAAAAAATGAAAAACATCCCGTATAATTTACATAAATGATTATATTTCTTCAAAGATATGTTTCTAATACAAAGTGTTTTTAAAAATATCTTTCAAGTTTTATAAAGTTTGGCTGAACTGTGGCTATATATTTTTTTCTTTCACATAATTTTTTTGAGGCAAAGTCTTACTGTGTAGTTCAAACTGGCCTTGAACTCACAGCAATCCTCCTGCCTCAGAGCGTGAATGCTGATTACAGGCCAGTGTGCCACCATTCCTGGCATTTGTCAGATAATCCAAATTAAAATATTTAGTTTAAACATGAATATTGGCAATCACCTCTCCTATGCTTTTATCTGTATGCTAATTGCTCATTCAAACAGGTTTAGCTACCATCTAAATAAAGAACAGGCAGGATAAGAGCCATGAAATGAGAAGAAAACCCATTCCGTGACTCTGAGAGGGCTAAAGAGAAGAGGGAGGAGATCCTCATTAACCCGTGTGGGGTCGGAGATAACAAGCGCGCAACTTCAAAAACCAAGCCAAGTTCACGCAGTGCAGTGCAGAGTTATGCTTTGTCTGTAGTAAATCCATATCCTTTTCAGCATATCAATTTTAGCAAAAGACACAGAATTAGTCATAGACCATAAAGGTATCTATGAATTAAAATATGTACGGTCTCAGTGCTCTCAGTAATCTCAATCGTTTTCGCCAAGTCAAAGATTCATGAGGTTTATTGCTGGAAACACAAGGACAGAAAGAAAATGGCCTGCATATGTACTTCATGGGCTAATTGTTTTTAATTTAGAACTACTTCTTAATTAACTGGCCCCTGATAACCTAATATGATTCAACATCCTAATTAAATGGACTTGTCTATTTGTTAAGTCCTTCAAAATTCACATTTATCTTTTGCACGAACTTTTTTTTTTTCCTTTCTCTCACTGTTTCTGAGAGAAACTGTCCCACTGTAGGTATCAGTGTGCAAAAGGAGATATGGTGCAGAGAAAGTGAGTGTTCTAGGCTTAATAATGCTTTTCCTCATACAGAAAAGTGAATCTTCTCTTAGAGCTTGATGTTCCAACAAGTGAAATGTTGTATATCACCTACTTTCCTCTTAGACATGTTGGCATCGTGACATTTGATCATGTAGCCTGTATGTCTACACAGATGTCCCCAAAACTGAACAAGGCTACATATAGTGGAACCTCTCATGACCTGCTCCAAATAGGAATGTGCTATTATTTAGAAATCTGTCATTAATTGTTATATTAGGTATATCTGAAAATTCTCTTTTAAGTCTTTATCTTTTAAAAATATTTACACTCATTGTCATTAATTAATTCACTCTGCTAATGATACTAAGAACTTTATGATATGAGGTAGAAGATACAAAATGTAGGCTTTGATAGAAATATTAAGAAATTATAAAAGAGTGAATAAAGCTTTTCAGACTTATTTAAGCTCCTCTACATATATGTCATGGGTTGATTGCCCAAATTTTTAAGCTTAATTTGCCCCAATTTTCCAAATGTAGTGCTTAATTGAATGATTGAGAGAATTTATAAAGAATGAGTATTTAAGATTTTTTCGGGCTGGCCAGATATCTCAGTGGATTAAAGCACCTCCTTAGGCAGAGGTAGGAGCTTGGGGGTTGGATCCCTGGCCTGCTGTGTCAGCCTTACCCCTCGTATGGCATTTGAGTCTGGGTGTGGTGGCACACACCTATAATCCCAGCTCTTGGGAAAATGAAAACAGGAGAATCCCTAGGAGTCCAATCTGTGTAGTGAGACCCTATAGACCCTGTATTAAAAATACAAAATAAGGTACTTTTTCATAGCAGATTGATAATGATTTTTAAAAGTGATTTGATAAATGGCTCACCTACAGAGTAGAAAAATATTTGATCAAATAGAAGTTATCCGTCAGAAAACTGAGGAAAAAAATTAAGCCTTCATAATTATAAAAGATAATAATAATTCAATTATCTGAAAATTAAGAAAAGCACACAGATAACCTAGATTCAGTTAGATATAATAAATATGATAAATGGGAGATGCAGTTTCATTTATTGGAAATAATTTAAGTTTTATGCAGATTACGTGCAGGTGGTACCTGATAGTAACATAATGTGTTCTGAGAACTATCTACTGAACCACATATAGAAAGACCCAGAAAACTTCCATGGTGTGGTGGGGGTCTGGAAAGGACTAAAAAGGATGTAAAATCCTCAGTTACTTACTCTGTTTTTGACACAGCCTTTGACAATGTAGATCTAGCCTGTTATATGTTTTCTTTGATTTTGTTCTTTCAAATAAAATTGTTACTTTGATCAGGAATCAAGGAGAAAATAAGTGGACTATTCAGTAGTGGAAACACTGCTGCACAAAATGGCAGTACTGATGGCTGATGAACACATCCATCTCTTGGCCAGCAGCTCTTTGGATCTTGGGGTCATATGTTCACTACTGAGTAGGTTTATTTTTTTATATTTATATTTACCCTGGTGATCGTATCCCTGAGTTACAACGCCAGCTAACTTTTTAAAATTTCTTTTCTCTCTGCTCTGTCCTGCCCTGCCCCAGCCCTGCTCCCGCCTCCCCACCTTCCCTTCCCCCTCCCCTCCCCTCCCCTCTCCTCCCCTCTCCTCTTTCATCTTGCTTGCTTGCTTGCTGAGACAGGGTGTCAGTAAATCACAGCATTTGTCAGGCTGGGCTATAACTTAGATCTACTTGAGCTTGAAGTGGAAGTCATAATATGATTTGTTTAGAAGTGTTGATGTGGGGGCTGGGGAGATAGCTCAGTAGAATAAGTGCTTGCCTGGGAAGTGCAAGGTCCTGAGTTCAATCCCCAGTACTGAAAAAAAAAAAAAAAAATAGTGTTGCTGTGTAATGGGAGAAAACACACAGCTTGAACACATACAGTAAAGGCTTACTGAAACCTCCCTGTGTCCTGCTTCTTAGTTCAAGGCAGCCCGAGAGGACCACGATAGGCTGGCTACTTGCCAAGTGAACAAAATCCAGAGGACTGTTTAGGAGCCTGCAGACCCTCAATGGAGTAATCATTTCTGGTCAACTACTTGTAAAACTGTTAACTTCAAACACCCTTCAGTATTAGTTTCTAATGGTCTTGTCTGACAATAATTTTCACCCTCCCTATAAACATCCTTTCATGTTAATTTTCAATAGTCTTGCTTGATAGATAATTATCTTTTTTCCCACACTCCACATCCACCTTGCACAATGAAGAAGTTAGATGACCTAGCAAAATGTAGCATATGTACAGAAAAAAAAAAAAAAAACAAAAAAAAAAACTGGAGAAATGTTTGAAAAACCATTCATGATAGAAAACTAAAAAGACCTCTAACATATTTCTCTTTCAGATAAGGTATAAAAATAGTACTGGTTTGATAAGTTGAGTGGCATTCTATTTCTCCCAGGCAAGTATTTGCTCATACTTTTAAAACAGTAATTAATGGGCCTGCGAGATAGTTCAGCGGCTAAAGCGGCTGCTTAGTTAGGCAAGCTTAGGCATGTGCAGGGACCTGGGTTCGATCCCTGGCACCACATGCTGCTCCAGTCCTGCCCAGGGCAGGCTGGGCTGGCCACAGAGTCCTGTGTGGGGGCACGCGCCTGTAATCCCAGCACTGGGGAGGCTGGACACAGGAGGATCACTATGAGTCCAAGCTGGTAATGAGACCCTGTAACAATCAGATACATTAAAATACTACCGCTACTACTACTACTAATAATAATAATAAAACAATAATTAGTGAGAGGTAGGCCTGAGTTAGAAACTCAGGAAGTCTGCAAAACACCCTTTTCACACACACACACACACACACACACACACACACACACACCAGTAATATTTTGTATTAAGGCCTCAAATCTGAAGAATAAAATGTACACTCTTAGATTATTTCATTTTGAACTCCACCAAAAAAAACTAATGGATTGGGTCAGTTAGAAAAGTCTCTTCCCATCTTAAATTAGCAGAGAACTTGTCTAAAAAGCAGATTTACGATTCTAAATATGATAGCATTTGCATAAATTATATGTAAACACTTTTTCTGAAACATGAGAATTACACAAGGTGAAATCTACTTGTGCATTTATTTAAAAACAAACAGGTAGAGCACCAAGGGAGATCTACTGGTGACACAATTCATAGCTCAGCATCTGTTGGGGAATGAGTTTTTATGGATTGCTTTTGCTCTTTGCATTGATTTTCATGTCTATGAAGTTTTTAAGAGAATAAACATAAAAAGCAATAAAAACAATATAGAATTTTATGATCTTTTAGGAAGACACATCCTAGAAGACAGCAGAGTGCTGTGTCGTGCTGAGAAAGAGGGCGAGGCTACGGGTTCCTACAGACCTGGATTCAAGCCCTAGCCCTGCCAGTTATTTGCTATGTGGTCTTGGGCAAATGACGTAAACTTCTTGAGAGAGTTAGCCTTTTAATTTGCAAAAACTCAAGGATTCCCAAGAGGAGTAAATTACCATAAGAGTGACTCAGGTTGCTAATATAAATTTGAATTATAGTCAAGCGATTGATGCAGTGATTATCATTAATTTGACTTTTATCTAACTCAATTGAAATTACTGTTCACACTGTTTTGTATCATGTTTGCCTTTCTGTTTTTTTCTACATTACAATAGCCAAATAGAGCCCTAATGTTCCCCATTCCCAAAACATACTCTGACTCATTTAATCAGTATCTCTAAGGCTTGGAATTGGGTAACTTTTTTTTTTAGGATTATCTGTAATGGAGAAATAATTTACACTACATGAACCCATTTTAAGTAATATATAATTCAGTGAATTTTGACAAATGGGTACATCTTTTTTTTAACCTATTTTGGAAAACACTTAAACATCAGTTTCTAAAATGTGTCATGGTATTTTAGGTTATTTCTCTTTTTCATAGAATTTAGGTATTCTGTAAGTGTTCCAGACAAATACAAATTGATTAACAACAGAGAGTCCTTTATTGCACTTATCATTCAGGCTTCATGCACAAAATGAGAACTGTGATTAGTCTTTACAACTGTGATACTCTTTACCAAAAATACATGCAAGGATCATAAATAAAAGTTTGCAGAAACACTTTATAGCAACAGATGATGTCAACTGCCTAAGGTCTTCCCATTGGATGCAGAGCATGCCACATGTGCTTCACAGGTACCATGTGACTGTACACATCCTTAGGTACACAGAAAAACTCTGAAACCCAGTTTCAAGAAATTGCTTTCAATAGCTAGTAATTAGCAGATCTAGGATCCAACCCATATGTTTGACCCCAATGTCTATGTAAGGCCACATCCCAATCTGGTCATATTTTGAGATTCTACCTTTCTGAAATCAACTCATACGCTCCTATTTTTAATTTGGAGAATGATTCTAAACAGTTGTTTCTATTTCTCAGCTGATGACCGTCCCAGCCAAAATGCCTTCTACAGAAAACAAGCCAATAGAAACAAGTAAAATTCCTCTGAGCTCACATTACTTTGATCTCCAGTAAAATCTTTACAAGGTGGTTATGGATTGTGTGTTTGCTCGTTTTCTTCTCTTATATCATGTAATTGTGAAGGGCTAATGAAACAAGGGGAACAAGGCTATAATTATGAACTGTGCCCCAGGGAAAGGAAGTTGGGCTGTGTGCTAATAAATTTTGAAATTCTCAAATTGTGCATGTATCACACCTAGGGGTGCTGTGAAACAATTGCATTATTAAGACCCTGGAAGTGGATGTCTTGTTCCTGACCATACTAAGCATCTTGTTTCTCTTGCGTTAGGGATATGTGTTTCAAAATGCATGATGTAGAGCTAGACCACAAAACCATTGGAGTTTCTGCCAGAGAACCCAGTGCATCTGTTTCAAGGCCATTTCCTGATAATGATGCATTCCAGTAAAGTGAAGCGTAGATCAGGGAGGAGGAAAGAAACTGAATTCTGTTTCTGGTAAAGCTGAGTTCATTTGTCTTCATATTTACAGATATTTTGAAAAATTTCTTATATGTATTTGATATTCAATAAATGTTGATTGAACTGTTTTGAAGCTTTCTTTGAAGGATATGCTATGTTCTGGGTAACTTAGAAAGGCAAAAAGGTCAAAGGAGCACATGACATTGGTGCCCAAGGACTTAAATGGGATCTTGCACCATTTTGACAATCTCATTTGCCTAGGAGCTTGTCTAGAAGATCAACTAAACTCAATACCTTAATGTTCAGAAAAAAAATAGAGGAGCGAGCTCTCCAAGTTCAGGGAACTTCCCAGTCCAGAGAAAGCTTTATACCAAGCAATTTAAGGCAAGTTGTGGATTTTCTTTTAAAAAGAAAATAAATCCATGAAACCACAATTTGAGTGATTCCAGTAGTTTGGGACTGAGACTAGCCCTGCTTTCAAAGGATAATGCTGTGACAGCATCAAAAACGTTCTAAGTGTGGTTTTTCTTTAAGGACTGTGAAAGAAGAAGAGAAATGGAAAGTAGGTTAACTGCTCAGTGCTTTGTTAATCCTATTAATAGGCCTGAAGGTGCTTGATTCTGTCTTTCGAGAGTGTTCCAGTCATATATATTTTACAATTTAAAGGGCTCTCCTTGTGTGTAGTTGTTGTTATTTCATCTTTGTTGTTGTTGTTGTTGAAAGATTTATTTTTAAGAGTTTGGAATAATGTGCAATTTTTATTAGGAATTTTTTATGTTTTATAATTTTCCCTGTGTGCAACTCAGACTTTCACCTACATTATCCTCTTTGTTTGGCCTGATTTTACTTGCATTATTTTTGAGAATATTTTTGCTCTTGGCTTCTTTCACACAGAATCCTAGATAATGCTACTATCTCTTCTTAGATCCTAACTGAACATTCTGATGTTTCTCCTCTATTCCCCATCATTATATCGTTTCCTTGGTTCAACACATAATTTTAAAATTAATGTATTAGTAAAAGTGCAGATGATTATAGATTTAATTAAATGCCACTGGTAAAGGGCAGGGTGGTTTTCCTGGGTTAATTATTTACCATAGCTTTTAGAATCTGCAGAGTTCAACAAATGTGAGCTGAGACCAGTTACAATGCAAATATTTAGAATTTGTTATAAAAGCTGTTGGGCCAACTTGAAGAGACTTGTGGGGGACAGAGCATAATGGTTGACTTTGGACTCCCCTCCACTTTTTAAAGTCTTTTTCATTAATATATGTTTGTCATTCATTACATATACATTTGCTTTGAGCAATTAGTACATGTACATTATATTTTATGATTTTTTGGTCCCCTTTTCTCCCCTATGTTCCTTACCCTCTTTCCTATAGCCTCTTCCACATCTTGATCCTTTATTTAACTCTTTAATTTATATTATGCTTACATGTATTATTTGTTTTTAGTCAGTTATTTAGTTTTTGATACCATGTCTCACTATGCAGTTCAGACTCATAGTGATCCTCCTGTCTCAGCCTCCCCAGTGTTGG